TTATTTAAATAATTTGCCTTTACGTTTTTATAATCAAATACAAAATCAGTGGGAATTCACTTTTTTTACATGCAAAGCTCTTCAGCCTTCAGTAGCTATACCATTTCTCAATCTCATTCTCAAGTTAAACAAGCACATTGGCATCTTTTTTACATCTGTGTAGTAACAAAGAGATTAAAAACAATAAGTGAAAACTGGCCTCACTCAAACTGAAATTCTCAGGAAATAATCACTGCATGTACTAGAACTGATTAGCTTTTGAAGTCACCCTGATTCARGATGTTTTATACAGCTAATCGTCACTGGTCAAACCAAAAATGATTATCTCTCTGTCAGTTATACAAATATCTGATCACATTCTCCCCAGAGTTACCACCTTGTCACTGATCACTCATAATGTTGTGGTGGTGAAGTGTGGTTCAGGCTGAGGGTCATTAGGTATCAGCTGTAGTGTGGTTCAATTACCGTCCCTGTCTATAGCTAGAGTGTGCCGATACCTCTGAGAGATGMGGGAATGGAGCAGAAAGAACCCACCAGAATTGGCTTGGGTCTCTCCCAGTTACACTTGTAAAGAACACAAAATTACTGAATAAAAAGTATACATACTAATAAACTTCTGTGTGTGGTGAAAAAACCATACAGTCATTTTCAAGGTTTGATCAAAATGCCTCTAACTTTGGCCCTTCTTATAATTATAGTTTAAAACTCTGGCATGAATGCTGACATGCATTTCTATGAGGAATGCTATTTAGTTTTTTTATTTATTTATTTTTTTGGCCATGTCTATTTTAGTTTATTTTGTCCCTAGCTTGATTCCTCTTGACCACAGCTGTCATCTAGTTGCTTCAAACAGTGGTAAATGCTGTGTTTGCAAAAACGGAGGTTGTACAGTAAGTTAGAAAACATGTCCCATGTAACCACTGCTGTGACCAGCACACAGGAATAGTAAACAAAAAGTAAATAAATTTTAAAGTTAGATGGTGGAAAAACTAATGACAAAACAGTGATCTATATGTAAACCCAGAGAAGATGCTGAGCCAGCACTCCTTTCATCCTCACCTTGATGCGGCTGACTCGTTTCTTCCAGGAACGGACGCCAGAGAGATAAATCTGGTTCAGGGCCTGATAGGACAGCTGCAGGTCAATACCTTCTGGTGTGATGGTGAACTGGAATGCCACGGCCTGGTGAGCCTCCGCCATTTCTATGGAAACAGAAGTTGTCAAAACTGTAAACCAATGAAATTAAAATTACAGCTTTATTGAACTAATAATAAAAAAATTGTTGCAAACATTTAAAACTCTTTTCACGTTATAAACAATAGTTTTAATTTATCAGCCTTCAGCCAAGAGGAAGCTCAGTTTTTTTCAGTTCAATGACACTTTGGTAATTGAACATGTCAGAGGAATGTTGTTGCACTGAATCCTGCTGGACAAAAACACAGTCTATACTGCTCCTGATCCACAACAGACATGTGAATTTTARCCAAAACCAAACACTCAGCCATTTTTCAAATATTTTACTTTCCTATTCTTTTACATGCTGTATTTCACATTTTTTTAYTGTGTGTGCTTAAATTAAATAAATGTAGTCATTGCAAAGTAGGAAATCAGACATAAAAAGATTATGTTGAACTACATCAAGTGGTGCAGTTTAAAAGAGTCTACTGCAGTAGTTTTCCAGATAAATTGATAWGAAATTCTGAAATCTGGGTAGACACTCAATGTAAACAAAGGGTTTGGCTGAATCCACYGAAAACCACGAGGTTGAGTCACGTAACTGACCGACATTAGGCTGGCCAAAGTCTTTGTAGGTAAACAAATACAAACGCTATCCTCTGAGGTGACAACACTCAAGCCCACATGGATCAACAAAGATAACCTCCAGAATTTGGGATAAAGGGATGGATGCAGTCCTGACAACTCCACTGAACACCTGAGAGATCAGTTCGGGCATTATGTTTGTTCCAGAGTAACCACCAGCAGAGGCATCCTGCAGCATCAAGTMGGTGAGCAGCAGACTGCTGTGGCTGTATTTGGATTTTTTACATGCTACTGAGGACCTCKGTTGACTGAATAAAATAAAAGTTGCCAATATGTCTTCTTTCTTCAGTTGTCAATCATCCAATCCAATAAAGAGACGATAGCAGAAGAGGCTGTTTCGYATTGCCAAAGAAGTTTTGATAAGTTTTTTCAGTAGTGCAGCTACAWATACAACCCTGCTGCTTTACCCACAAGTGCATTTTTCTAATATAACATCATTTAGGTGGAAATACAGACTCTGAAGGTTTAATATTTATTACTAAGAAGCACTGTTTCATCAAAGGAATATACACATTTTCTTACTTTCTAGGCTAATTTTAGATACCATCTAAACTACAGTGCAAAYGCTCAGTAGTGAAGCAGTGGAATACCCCATTTCTTTTGACCTGATGATTAGGGCCAGAGCACCGTGAAACAGAAGACCCTATTGTTTTTGACCTGATTATTTTTATTATTCTGCTAAAGATTTAGACAGCTAGAAGACAAACTAACCACATTTCCTCACTGCTGCTGTTTTCAGTCACTCTCCTCTTTAAGTGTGTTGTAATTATTTCAATCTATTGACCTGAGTAAGACATTAAACTTTATCCGATGGCAAAGCTCCAAGCAGAGATTCATGGAGTTGTGGGGAGTGAGGAGTGACCACCTTAGACCAAGGAAACAATAGAAAAGAGAAAACAGGATGCAGAAAATCATGTCATATAACGCTCCCTACCTGTGCAGATATCATTCCAATGTTACAGTTTTAATGCTTTTGCCACACAAGAGCAGGCCTAACAGCCCACCATCGAGCAGGCTGACTTTAAAGCCTCACTGCAATCATCATCGAATTGATGCACTGCTGYAGAAGAAGTATCTCTACCAATAACGCATCTCTTCCAATGGAAAATACACCAGTTATGCTGTGTCTGAGTCTCTTTCTTATCCTTTGAAACCCGGCTGGTTGAGATCACTGTCCGTACTGAGCCTGGAGCCTTTCTACCGTTTAGTGATGAGATGATGATGCCTCAAGGAGTGTATTGACGCTCTACACAAACTGTGTCGGCTCTGTATTGATACTGTGTCACTCAATAGTGACCCGGGACCCTGCAGTAGTTAAAAAAAAACATTGCTCGTAAACAAAATGAAAATAAGATAGAAAAGCTTACATGCTGCATACCCAATATCAGCCTGTGAAATATTAAATCACCAGTTCTTTTACTTAACATATCATCTCATCATTGTATAATTTCATTTGCTCAGTTTGTTTGCTGAGTTAAGTTGTTCATGAGAAGAGTTTAAAATTACTTAAAACCTTGTTTGTGTAACCTGTTTGTCTAAAGCGAGTTGTAAAATACAAATTTGTCTATAATAAAATTCAGAGTTAAAATTATTAGTATGTAGTTTTGTTGTGTTAAACC